ACCTAAAGGGCTAAGTAGGCATTCTCAGCCAAGTTTCCCATCTGGCCTACCCGAGAGAAGATTAGCCTGGCAACTTTCTTTTTGACAAATCCACTCTTACTGGAAATCACTCTGGTTGTTTTTTTCCAACATGTTTATGAATAATGCCTTAATTTGCTTCTTCCTTCAATGTATTTGTGGTCTATTGTTAGTTCCCTTTAATAGACAAATTTGGTCAGTTGTATTTTGTTAATGCAGACTTTTTTTTGCAATATATGATTGACAGATTTATCTGAATCTTTTTCACTTTTGAAGACAGTCATAACATTTGTTCTCCCAGTTCTCAATATTTGGAAGTTAGACAACAGTAGGAAAAAGATTCAAAAATGAAAAGATCACCTGGAGTAAGAAACCAAGGTTTTTGCTTTTAAAATTCCTGGGTGTTTTTGTTCTAGTTCCATCCATCTCTGGAGAAGAATGAGTTTTGCAATATTTCACATTGGAAATTGTACTTGGACCAAAATGGAGATGTAGCAGCAGATTTGAATGCCATAAGCTGGGTGCTTCTTCCCAAGTGGAATCCCATCGACAAGCAAATGGGGAGTTTTGAAAGGCAGAGACTTATTATCAATCAAGATACCCTGTCTTGGCTAAGGTTATGGAACAAGGTGGGAGAAATGTTGGTGTTTTTCCACCATCACCAAAAGTCATAGTACCCATTTCATGTTGGCTAAGCCTAATCATTGATTGACTTTCACCTTAATGAGCCTTGATGGTGCAGTGGTTAAGAGTGCAGCACTGCAGGCTACTTCTGCTGACTGCTGACTGCCTGCAATTTGGCATTTCAAATCTCACCAGGCTCAGGGTAATCTGCCAATAGCTCTATCTCTTACAAATGTTTGGAACTAATTCGAGATTTCATATTTATCTAAGTGAAACTCAGAGACTACTTGATTAATATTCATTTCTATATTCATTATTCATGAATGATTAGTCCTGATGTATTGTATTTTCTTTGGCATTCCTTTTTCTCCTTAGTCTCTGCCTCAGTCCAAATGTGTGAGAAATTGTCATCCTGGATTTGTCAAGTGGGCTAGGGAAGGAGAGCCAGTTTGCTGCTATGACTGTGTTCCTTGTCCAGAGGGGACCATCTCCACTCAGGAAGGTGGGTGATACCAAAGAAAAGGGCAGGCCTTGTGGGAGTAGATTCATACAGATCATTTTCACAAGAGTGCAAATTAAAGGACACATTGAAACTCAACTGTATTCCTTGTTCATTTTCAAACTGCACAATTCTTATTTCAAAGGAGGAATAGCAAAATGGGGTGATGGAGGAGCTAAGAAGACATAGGAAGATGAGGCACACCAGGAAAGCTTTACTACTGCAAGTGAAAATATCTGTTGTTTTTTGTTTGAATGTCCCCTTCTACACTTACCATTCTAGGAACCTCTGAATTCCTTGAAACTAGAGCAATTATCTTAGGTCCACCTTCTGAGCCACGGTGGTGCAGTGGTTAGAGTACAGTACTGCAGACTACTTCTGCTGGCTGCTGGCTGCTGGCTGACTGCAATTTGGCAGTTCAAATCTCACCAGGCTCAAGGTTGACTCAGCCTTCCATCCTTCCGAGGTCAGTAAATAAAGACCCAAATTGTTGGGGGCAATATGCTGACTCTGTAAACTGCTTACAGAGGGCTGTAAAGCACTAGAATGTGTTATAGAAGTGTAAGTGCTATTGCTATTCTGGAAAGATTATTGCAATACTTTCAATATGGGCCTCCCCTTGTGGATCACTGGGAAAGTATAGCTAGTTTATAGTCAGCTAATGTGGACAGTTATGAATACACCTCATACACACATATTACTACTGTTCCCAGTAACCAGTCCAGATTATTTGCAAGAGCAGTTTTCTTTGCCAGCCAATTAGATATCAGAAAGTAGAATTATATAAAGCCACATTAGATTTAGTAGGGCCTCTGATGCTGGAAGTGTTTAATGAAGTACTTTCGGCTGCCAAAATGCCAGACTCATGGAGGGAGGCGTTGATTGCGTTAATTCCGAAGGAGGATGTGGATGCCAGATATATCAACAATTATAGACCAATCTCACTTTTAAATGCCGATTATAAATTATTTACCTCAATTATTGCGAATAGAGTAAAACAAGTTTTAAATTTATACATTCATGAAGACCAAAATGGTTTCCTTCCATTCCGCCAAATTAAAAACAATTTAAGAACCGTTATTGACGTCTTAGAATATTATGAAGCTCATCCAGAGAAACAATTTACACTCTTGTTTCTAGATGCGGAGAAAGCATTCGATAACTTACATTGGCACTTCTTAATACAAAAAATCTATAACATGAATCTGGGCACTAAATTCGAGAATATTATCACAACAATTTACAATACCCAACAAGCCAATATACTAATTAATGGTGAACAAACAGGCCCACTAAGCATTGAAAAGGGCGTTAGACAGGGTTGCCCTCTCTCACCCCTCTTATTTATATTTGCTTTAGAATCATTGTTAACGCGGATAAGACAAAATCCTGAAATTCAAGGGGTTAGGGTCAAGGCAGAGGAATATAAATTACAGGCGTTTGCAGACGATATGGTTTTCTTCCTAGAGGATCCCATGGAGAAAGGACATAATCTAATAAAAGAACTAGAACAATATGGTTCAGTAGCAGGACTAAAGATCAACAGAAATAAGACGAAATTACTGACTAAAAATCTAACAGAGAACCAGAGGAAAGAATTAGAAAAAACCATGGGGATACAGGTAACAAAAAAGGTCAAATATTTAGGCATATGGTTAACACCACATAGTAAATCACTCAAAGAGAATAATTATGATAAACTGTTACAGCAAATTAAGAAAGATCTAGAATCCTGGAATAAGTTGCAGCTTTCTTTACTGGGCAGGATTGCCACAATCAAAATGAACATTTTACCAAAACTCCTTTACTTATTCCAGACAATCCCAATAAAATTACCAAAAAATTTTTTTGATGATATAAATAAGGTAACTCTTAAATTTATTTGGCAAGGGAAAAAAGCTAGAATCAGTATTAAGGCCTTACAAGATGCAAAAAGTAGAGGTGGGCTAGCGCTTCCAAACTGGGAATTATATTATTGGGCAGCCAACTTACTATGGTTAAAAGACTGGGTCAATTTACGGAATAAAAGAACTCTAGCCTTGGAAGGGCACGACCTTCAGAGAGGATGGCACGCATTTCTATGGGATGTGGGGAAAACTAAACAGGCGTACTTTCATAGACATCTTATTAGAGATTCACTATTAACTAATTGGAAAAAAATATGTAAAAAACATTATTTAAAAATTCCGATTTGGCTTTCAACAATGGAGGCAATGGTTCATCCCAACAATTTGGATATAACAAAAATGACTAAATATAAAGATTTATTAGATCCTTTAGGGAAACTAAGAACTCGACAGGACTTACAGGAACAGGGATTTAAAATTGATCAGTGGTTATATATACAAATCCATAGTAGATACAAACAAGATATCAAAGAGTTTGGAATTTATAGCAAATTACAACACTTAGATAAAATCTTATTAGGATCAAATAAAAAGAATATTTCTAAATTTTATAAATATTTATTGGAGGTAGAATTAGAGCAAGAGATAGTGAAAGGGAACATGATAATGTGGAGTAGGAATATTGGAAGAAGCATTACATTAACAGAATGGGAAAAGATCTGGAATAGAATCATTAAGATTACGAAATCTGCGGCGTACAAAGAAAATATGTATAAAATGTTATATAGATGGCACTTACCCCCTTCGAGGTTAGCGAAAATGAACCCAAACTCTAGTCCAAAATGTTGGAAATGTAAAAACATAGAGGGAACCTACTTTCATATGTGGTGGACCTGTAAAGAAGCCCAGAAATACTGGCAAAAAATTAGAAAATGGCTGGAGGAGATAACCAAAGATCAAATTGAATACAAACCAGAGTTCTTCCTACTAGGGATCTCTGATAAACATTTTCCTAAAAAGACGAAATACATAATAATTCATATTCTAACTGCGGCCAGATTAGCATTTGCCCAGTGCTGGAAATCATCCCGTTTACCTACAGATCAATTGGTCATTCAGAAAATATGTGACTGCGCAGAAATGGACAATTTAACCATAGCTCTTAAAAATAAAGAGTCTTCAGCATTTGATAATAATTGGAATGCATGGTATAATTGGTTATATCAGAGATAAACTGTTTAATGAGCATAAATAAGCATAAATATCCATAAATAGCGATAAGATGTGTATATTTAAAGTAAGGTAGGAGAATTGGATCTTGTAGACTGTCAAAAAGAATATTTGTCTGGTTTTAACGTATTTTCTTTTTTCTTCCGTCTCTTTGTTTTTTTGTTTTTTGTTTTTCTCTCTTTTATACTTCTTCTTCTCCTTTTTCGGTCGCAAGACCGAGCGTTTTTTTTTTTTTTTTTTTTTTCCTCTCTCTTTCTCTTCTTTCTTTCTTCTTTTTCTCTCTCTGTTTCTTATGTAATGTTGTTATGTTATTTTTTTAATTGTAAATTCAATAAAATTTATATGAAAAAAAAAAAAGATATCAGAAAGTAGACATCATGTGAGTCCAGTATATTAAGAAGTGCTATTTAATAGGATTCATGAAATTAGCCTAGAAAGATTAACTGATCAATTATTTACTTCTAGTCTTATAGGTTGCTGTGGAGGATTGGCATATTTTGCTGTAAATCTTTCAGGAAAGAGGACTTCCCCAATTTCATAAGAAAAAATGATATTCTTACCTTTTTTCATAGGAAAAAATGATATTCTTACCTTCTCTTTGTGGAGATGTTAAGAAATGTATCTTAAAAAAATGCTGCTGGTATCAGCTGTTATCCTAGCAATGTATTCCTTTAAATATAAAAGGACACAAAAATTAAGAAATGTTGTATTTTGGTTTTCTCAGATACAGAAAAATGCACCAAATGTCCAGATGATAAATATCCAAATGAGGACCAAGTTGAATGCATTCCGAAAGTAATCTCCTTTTTGTCTTATAAAGACTATCTGGGCATCATCCTGGTCTCTTTTACCCTATTCCTGTTCCTAATCGCAGGCCTTGTTTTAATCATATTCATTCAATACCTAGACACTCCCATTGTCAAAGCCAACAACCGGGACCTCTCTTACATCCTCCTGGTCTCCCTTCAGCTTTGCTTCTTATCTTCTTTTCTCTTCATTGGTCAACCAAGGAAAGTCACCTGCCTTCTCCAACAAACTATTTTTAGCATCATCTTTTCCATTGCCATTTCTTCTCTTTTGGCCAAAACAAATACAGTGGTCCTGGCTTTCTTGGCCACAAAACCAGGAAACCGAGTGAAGAGATGGTTGGGGAGGAGCTTGGCCAACTCCATCATCCTTTCTTGCTCTGCTGTCCAAATTATCTTCTGTTCCATCTGGCTGGGAGTTTCTCCTCCATTCCCTGACTCTGACTTCCACTCTCAGCCTGGAGTGATCATCCTGCAATGCAACGAAGGCTCTGTTGTCATGTTCTACATCACTCTCAGCTACATGGGTTTCTTAGCTGCCATTTGCTTCACAGTGGCTTTTCTGGCCAGGAATCTTCCTGGGGCCTTCAATGAAGCCAAGTTGATCACCTTCAGCATGCTGGTCTTCTGTAGTGTCTGGGTAAGTTTTGTGCCTACCTACTTGAGCACAAAAGGAAAATACATGGTGGCTGTTCAGGTCTTCTCCATCTTGTCCTCCATTGCTGGACTGTTGGGTTGCATCTTCTTCCCCAAATGCTACATTATAATCCTAAGGCCAGACCTGAATACAAAGGAGCAGCTTACAACTAAAAGAAATATAGAAATGTGAACCTTAAGAATGTTGACTTCAGAAATCATGTTTATTAAGAAATTTTGCCAGAATAAGTCAACACAAGCTTAGTAAAAGGAGAAAACAGTATGAAAAAATAATAGTAAAAAAAGGAAACAGCTCTTAATTTTCTTTACAGTAATTATAAATGTGTGTAAATATATATTTATCATAAATCACACATTCTTTTTTTTATTTTTAAGCAAAAATTACAAATAGTTTCCAGTCACTAACGATTATCGTTATCTTTTTCTTGGTATTCCTTGGACCCAATATGTGGATGAGATCTACATTGGAATGCCTTCATTCCCTTCCCAACCACTTTAGGATAGAAAGACAATATAGGTGTACATGTTGTGATGGGTAGCTAATTCATATCTCATTACTCACCACCACCACCCCAAACAGAAAAACACTTTAAGGAAATTCAATGTACAGAAAAGTAAGATTTTACACTTAGGCAAGAAAAACCAAATATGCAAGCAATAGAACAAAGTCTCACTTAGATTCTTGGACTTTAAGAGAACTGATTTCAATAAAGAACCTAGAGACAGCTTGAGAAAGATTGCATGGATCAGAATCCTCAAAGGGAAACAAACTAAGAAGCTTAGGAAATTTTGAAAAGAGATTATAAAAGCCCAGTCTAGCACAATTCCAGTGAAGAAGAAAAATAAGAGAGCTCAAAAGAAGAGATGACTGCCAACAATCTTTCTGAAAGATTGAAATACAAAAAGGACAAGAATAAAAAGTGAAAAAGGGGCTACATAACTAATAGAAAATAGAATAGAATTCTTTATTGGCCAAGTGTGATTGGACACACCGGGAATTTTTCTCGGTGCAAATGCTCTGTCAGCCTCAAGATCTCTTCGGCTACCCTAGCTGCTATCTATCTCATTTATCTCTCTCATATCCTATCTGCTGTATCTTCTCTACTGCCAGGCTTAATTCTTTCAGCTGTCATTAGCAATGGGGGGGGGTGATTGAGGGGGGAAGAGAGCTGGAGGTGTTTTGCATTCCTTTACTGTGGGTAAGCAAGAGGAGGGGGTGTATGAATTCTTCTCTTCAACTTTCCATTTCCTTGCTAGCTTCTATCCCCTTTTGCGCAGCTGCGAAGTTTTATCAAAATATGTCAAGGTCAACAGACAGAGGCCTCATCACCACCTGAAGATGCCCACATGATCATATTCAGAACTTTTAATTGAAAGAGTCTTTTGGACTTTGGGGGGTGGGAACAATTCCATTCCTTTATATATGTGATCTGCACGCCAATTTCTCAGATTCGGAATTCCATCTGTAGCTTCCACTTTAATTTCCAGTAAAAAGATAACTTTGCTCTGATCTATGGAGTCTGAGTATTTCTTTCTTGGATTTTGAAGGGAGCACACACTGACATGCTCACAGTATACATAAAAGAAAAGATACATTCGACAAGAGTCAAGAATCATAAGGTACCACACTTAATGATAGTTATAAGGTACAATAAGCAATCAAATCATACTAGGAAACAGTCAGTATAAATCGTGATACAAGCGACAAACTTACAGTCATACAGTCACAAGTGGGAGAGGAGCAAATAACCTGAGTCTGGAAAGATAAAGTCAGGAAAGCAATGTTTCAGAATGAACTAAAGCTTGCTACAAAAATCAAAAATAACAAATAAAGTTTATTTCAATATGTAAAAACACAAGAAAAAAGTCAAGGAAACAATGAGTCCATTAATGGGAGAGAATGGTAAGAAGGTGCTGAGCAACAGGGAGATAACAGAACTGTTTAACTCATTTTTTTATGTCTGTCTTTGCACAAAAGGAAAAAACAGTCCAACTTTTCAAAAGTAGTACCATTATAAGCAGATCAGGAATACAAGTTAAAATAGGTAAGAAATGGTAAGAGAGCACTTGTCCACTTTAGATGAGTTCAAATCACCAGGATCAGATGGATTGCACCTCAAGGTTCTGAAGGAACTGGCAGGTGATCTCAGAACCACTGGATCATATACTGTATTTCAAAGATCCTGGAGTACCATGAAACTACTGTACAAGAGGACTGGAAGAAGCAAAGAAAGTCATAACCAAAAGCCAATATGGGTTTTTTTTTTCCCAAAAGCAGATCATGCTAGACAAATTTTATTGCATTCTTTGACAAAGTGACACAATTGGTGGACCAGAGGAATGCTGTCAATATAATCTACTTGGACTTCAGTAAAGCATTTGATACAGTAGTCCACAACTTACTACTTCATAAAATACAGTAGAAAAATGTAGGTTAGACAGCATCACCTCCAGATGGATTCATAACTGCCTAACCAACTGTGCTCAATGTGTGGTCCTCAGTGGAATTGCATCTACATGAAGAGAAGTATGCAGTGGGATACCCCAAGACTCTGTCTTGGTCCCAGTACTACTCAATATCTTCATCAATGATTTAGATGAGGGATAGATGGGAAACTCATCAAATTTGCAGATGACACCAAGCCTGGCAGGAAGCTGAACCTCAATCTGTTTTTTCTTTTTAAACTCAGGGTAGTTAAGAAGTGATTTGGCAATGGAAGACATGAATATCAGTCTGTTGAGAAATGGATAGATTGTTCTTGGGCAATCCTTTCATTTCACTGGAGCCATATCTCTCTGTAGGAATGCAGTGCCTATTTTTCAGGCATGAACAATCGGGTCCACACACAAAGGGGTCAAAATGACTGATTTACTCTTCAGGCCTATATATATCTTCTCAGACTAACAAGTGTTTTTTCTCTGGTGGGACTGGTCTATCAGGGCAACCTGGTCTAGCCAATTATGGGATGGAGCATACTCCTTCTGCTTTCACTTTTCAGCCCCAATCCAGCAGCTTTGGCAGGCAGTCACTTTTGCGACAAACTATTTTTGTGTTAAATTTATGTTTTACAGAGAAAGAAATAAAGGGAGACTAATGTAGATCTAGTTCAAGCTATTTACCTCTTATCAGCTAGCCATATCCTTCTGGATTTGAACCCGGGCTACTTACATATTAGATAGATGTATCAATCTCTAAGTGGAAGCAGTATGCTCCATCCCATAATTGGCTAGATCAGGTTGCCCTGAGAGTTCTTAGGTAGACTAGGTTGTCCCACCAGAGAAAAAACACTTAATCTTTCCCCTGGTATAACTGACAAAGCGAGGAGAGCCCATGGCTTAGAGGTTTATACATCTACCTAATATATAAATAGTCTGAGTTTGAATCCCAGATGGGTATGGCTAGCTGATGAGAGCTAAATAGCTTGAAATAGATCTGTGCTAGTCTCCCTTTATTTCTTTCTTGGTAAAACATAAATTTAACACATTTCAGACTAACAGTTTGCACTTGGGAAACCTAGTTAAGGGTCAACTGCATTCAAGGGGAATTGGACTTTCTTGTGACTACGTAGAAACTCCAAACTCATTTCCCGCTTGACTCCTCCCCCTGGCCCTGCCACTCTCCTACACTATTTGACTGAATTCATGGAAATCTCTTTAGCAATATTTATTTATATGAAATGGAATGGAGTTCAACGAACTCAATCTTTCAACCATTCCCTAGTTAGAAACATGTCTTTTCTTAGAATAGCAATGGAATACTTGGATTATTAGTTTAGCTTCTTCTTGGATGAGAAGTGAAATATTTTCAAAGAAAAAAATGCAAGAAAGTCCAGTTGCCTTTTGGAAAAAACACTTTTGGGTTGACTAGGAACTTGATGATTTGAGAATCTCCATAGCATACAGTTGTGACCTTTTCACATTCATTTCCTCAAAAGTCTTTCTGCCAAAGAGTGGTGGAACTGTAAAAGTTGGAAGCTTGGATACTGAGGACTAGAAACCTCATGCAGTGTTAGGAATATAAGTCACCTAACAGCTATTTGGGTTGGAAATATATAAACCATGATAAACATTTTAAAACTGTCTCTTTAAGATAATCATAAAAGTGTAATTGGGAATGGTTTCTCAAACGGCCATAAGATGGAGCCAGAAACCTCTGTTGTTTTTGTCTTAGTCTCAGAAGAAGTCTCAGTGAGTCTCTGTTTCCTTCTGTTGGAGAGTTTTGCCGTTCTTTCTAATTGACTGCTGTTTTTGGATTTGATGTAAGTCTGATACTGAACTGTTTCTGACACTGGATTTTGTTAGTGGATTATCCCTGGACTGAAAACTGATTGATTTACCTGTGAATAACTTTGGACTGCTTGTTTTGAACTTTGCTTAAACCTTTCTGGAAGTAAAAACCTACATTTACTGTACAGTGTATCTGTGTGCTGTGTGTGTATTATTCAAACACTACTCTCAAATACGTCTCCCTGTATGCGCTCATTCTCCTAACAGAGAATTACCTCAACAGGTTGAAAATAAGGTCCCACAACTGTCGAGGAAGAAACTGTTTTTGTTTTCTGATCTTTCTTTCTACTTTTCTTTCTTTGTTTCTTTTTTTCTCTTTCATATTTATATATGTGTTGTTTATCTGTTTTAATTGTAAAATTAATAAAATTTATTTTTTTTAAAAAAGGCTAGAGATATTATTAAAACTATTGCAGTCAGTTCAGCAAAGGCAGAAAGGGGCTTCTTACAGATGAACATAATATGTTCAGAAAGCAGAAGTCACCTTACAGTTTCCAATATTACAAACCTCCTGGCCATCAGTCTAATTGGCTTACCTCTGCAAGAATGGGACCCTGTTCCTATTGTAAAGAAGTGGTTACAGGCACCATTGCTTTTCTGGGGTCATTAATCAATTCCATGCTCTTCTTTATTCATTTCGACTTGAATGGTATGGTTTAATTATTTTGAAATAAGCAATTGAAATAATAATGAATAGCTCTTTAAGTGATTGAATACATTCTCTTAGAGATCTCATAGATAAATTTTTGCAATGGCAATCTGTTCCTAACCTGATGTTTCAGGTTTTTCATTGGTTCATCTTTTGCTGCATTAACAGTCCATCCACCTTGTTGCTGGTGAGTCTCTTCTCTTTTCCCAGCATTACTGCCTTCTCTAGAGAACTAGGACTTCTCACAAAGTGTCCAAACTAGGAAAATTTGAGGCTGGTCATTTGTGGCTCAAGTGAGAATTTTGGGTTGATTTATTGTATGATTCATTGGGTTTTTTTTTTCACTTGTCCACGGTTTTTTAAGAGTCTTCACCAACACCAAAGTTCAAAGCATCAGTGCTCATACAGTTGCTGGTTTTCGTGATTCTGGCATTTGTAAGTTTGGACACACCGCAGCATTTGTGTATCTTTTCTGAGCCCTTCATGGCTGCTCTTCCAAATGCTAATCTGCAACACTTTCCTTTCCTTTACTATTTGTTGATGGTTGATCCTAAAAGGCAGAAGCTCTCCAATACTTCCATGTCTTCACTGCCAAATTTGTCTTCTTCGTATTTAATTAGTCCCATTTTTCTCATACTGTTTCTTGGCTTTTATTACTAGGCTTACTGGTCCTTTGCATTTTTGGTTTTTGAGGGTAGTGTCAGGCTGTTGATGTTTTTCCCCCCTTTCAGTTTTTTAAACCATGTGATTTTCTTCCAATCCATTTTATTTTAATATAGAGTCACTATATAGGCTATATAAATAAAGGAAAGCATTAGTCCTCATTGCACTCTTTTTGCCATCCTGGAGCCAATCTGTTTTACTATAGTGTGGCTTCCTGAATTCCTCAGGAGAAGAAGATGTTTCCGAATTCCCACTTTTGTCAGGACATCCCATAGCTTGATGTGATCAACACAATAAGCAATATTTCTAGAATGAAAAGCATTGTGAGTTCTCTTTGGTATCTTTGGCTTTCTCAATTATTCAGCATGTATTATTCAGGAGTACTATTTCATGATCTGTGGCCTTTTTGGAAGCCAAGTTGGACATATGGCATCTGTTTTTCCATGTAGGGCTTCAATACTTATTGGATGATTCTAATCATCATTTGCTACCATTTGAAATTCAGGATATTGTATGATATTTTGTTCAATTCATTAAGCCTTTTTTTTTTTTTTTGATCTTGGAAAGTAGATTGACCTCTTCCCATTAGTTGGCCATTGTGCCATTCTCCAGATTCCCTGACAGATTCTTTTTCTGTTGCTTGGCATAACTCTGTGGATATTCCATCAGTTCCTGTAGCATTATGAGTTGGGTGAGACTGAAGTGATGATCTAACTTCATCAGCTAGTACTAGAGCTTCTTACAATATCTTCTAACTATCTTGGATATTGACATCTCTACTGTACAGTACTTCACATTCCTTCCATCATTGTTTGATCTCCTTTGTATAGGTTACTCTCTATTGGTATCTTTTAGCATATTAGTTCAAACTCCAGAGATTCTGACCAAATAAAAATTAGTTATACTACTTAATACTATTACTAATAGCAATATATTTGTTATTATTAAACTGGTGGAGGAATATCTCTATTCTACCTTCTCAATGGTCATAAAAATTAAATGCTGATCAGTTCATATAATTTGCCTTTGGTTTTGGATCAGCCCTGGTTTAAGACTGAAAAGTTTTATGAAATCAAATAAGAAAAAATTCAATATAGATTGATGATGATGATGAGCACATCTGATTACAGCAAAGAAAACACTGATTATTCGAAAATCCTACCCTTCATTTTGATCATTCAAGAAGTCAACAAGAAGCACCAGCTCTTGCTCAATCTCACTCTTGGCTACAACATCCATGACAACTATATGAACACCATTGTGACTTCAAGTGCCTTGCTGGATATGGTCTCTACTGGAGAAGCCAATGTTCCCAACTTCAACTGTGGAAGGAAAGACAACCTTTTGGCTCTTCTTGATAAAAGTGATGATGACATCTCTATGCAGATATCCACTGTGGTAGGAACCTACAAAATCCCACAGGTTTGTGTGAGAGGGTATTCCTCTCTTAAGTGTATCCATCTGAGAGTGTATATGACTTGGTAGTGAGTGAGAGATAACTCCAGATTCATCTTCTCCATGAAATTCCAGAACTGTTTTTCATTATGGTCATTGTAGGTGTCATGGCTATAGATTGGAGCTCCACAGTGGAAAAAGGACAAGGATCAAAGCAGCCTTAGCTTAGCCCCCATGACAGCATTCCCATATATTGTGGAGCTTCTACTGTAACTTCATGAACAGGCAAGAGATGAAAATAATGAGGAGAGGCTGAACTATGACACATATTAAATCATATTATAAATGGCTATATTATCCTGTTACCATTTATTAAACAAATTTAAGATTTCTGGAAATAATTATAAGATCAAGTTAGAGTCATTCAAGTGTAATATTTTGGTCTTGATCTGAATCCAAATAAAAGACAACATTTTGTTTTCTTTTACAGATCATTTTCAAAATGTTTCAGACACTCTGAGTGGTAAAAGTCAATTCCCCTTTTTCCACCACATGGTCCCCAAAGAAGGAATCCAGTACCAAGCGATTGTCCAACTGCTCCACCATTTCAAATGGACCTTGGCTGGTGTCTTTACTATAGACACAGAGAAGGGAGAGATTTTCATGAGGACTTTGATTCCTATGCTTGTTGGGAATTGTCACATAAGTTCTCAATGGTTCCAAGTAGAATCTTGCATTTCATTGATGGCCTAAGTGGAGACAAGTCAATGTCTTTATTTACTTTATAGAAAGGGTTTGGCTCAAACATGGAATGATCACTGTACATGAGACACTTCAACACCTGCCAGAACCCATTGAAGGGAAAGTCTGGATCACCACAGCCTTATGGGAAATTGAAGGTGGATGGCAACATATTGAACAATGTTTACAGTACACCCACAGTATTTGGTCCTTCCTTATCCAGAAAAAACAAAGGCAGAAATATGATTCTTTTCAAAGCATTTACTTTTTTAACCGAGATTTCAAAGAAAAGGGGTTTAACTGTTCTTTTTCCAAGCATGTTTTTTCTGTCAAAGGCCGGAGAAGATGCACTGAGAAAGCACCATTGGACACACTACAGGAAAGGAAAGGGATCCTGATTGTAAAAGAACACCATAGCTACAGTGTCGTTAAGACTGTGGCACATGCCTTGAATGCTGCATATTCCTCCAGATCTGGGAGGAGAAGGAACAAGGGCCAAGAGAGTTTGGTGGCTCCAATGCTGCAGCCATGGCAGGTATGGGACTTTGACAAGGATCCGTTAAACTTAGTTCCTTCTGAGTGGGAATCCAAAGAAAGAGGGAGGGGCCAATTCTCGACCCCCTTCTTTTCTCCCATCTTCTGCTCCTTCTTTTGACCCACTGCTTCCTTGTCCAATTCTTTTCTACTCAATGGTCATGAGTCAAGTCTGCAGAGTTTAAGGGTTGAGAAGGAGAGCATTAAACATCCTTTTGGGTTTTGCTGATTGTGCCACTGTTTTCAGCAACTGCAGATAGTTTTGCTTGTTTGTGTCTGGTAGGCATATATTGTGATGCTCAATACTGTGAATTTTTAAAAAAAGATATGTCCATTTTTAAAGATATTCTGGACCAATGTATGTGTCAACCCATAAAATATTTCTATGGTCTTTTTAGAGTTGACAACAGAAAGGGAGGGGGGAGCAGTGCAACAGCTTGGAAAGTGAAAGTGCATTCCATAAATAGTTTTCAAAGATAGTAACTGGGTGCCTGAAGTTTCTGCCATGCACAATTCTAACTGGAGAACACGATTGATGGCTCTTGGCTATGGATGTGTTTCATTGGAGAATATGAATTATGATATACCCAGAGAGTGGGGGAAAACCAGGGTCAAGAGTGACAATGAATTATGTGTCTCAGAGTGGGCTACACCCAGGCAGTGCTGAACATATTAACTCCCAATAAATCTTTTGAAGTTTTGGAAGTTTGGCTCAAGACTCATAATTTAATTGGGGTAATTGCTGGAATCCTGACAGTATGTAATAGACATGATACAATTTTAAAATGATTTTGCATTAATAAAGTTTATATAGCTCCTGGGGTCACCTAGCTTCACCCCCTCCATGCTTCAGGAACCCCAGTTAAACTCTTGTTGACTGATGGTCTTTCATGAAGCCCTCCAGTGAAGGGGAGATTGAACTTCTCTGTTTCACCATCAAATTGCTCTTCCTTCTGATATGTTTTTCCTATTATTTAGTCAGAATCTGCCTTCTTGTAATTAAGCTCATTTTCCCATATCTTATACTCTGTTGTTGTTGCTTATAAATTTTATTAAGATTGTTTTGTACAGTAAAAGTTAAATCTAAAAGAAAAAGAGAAAAAGAAAAATGCGAGAAGCAAAAGACAGATGTAAAAAAAAAAAACAGAAAACAAGAATAAATTCTATCCAACCTTCCTTTTAATAAACATTTACATGCTTATTAACTAACTTCTCTCTTAGATGTTATATAAATCCCTTCAACACCTTATTCAATCCACATCTTCTTCAATCACCAAATCCATAAATCATCATTTCGTTTGTTTCTTCTTTCAGCAAAGAGTTCATGTAATGTTTCCAATCATTTAAAAAAGTTTTTTTTTCTCTGACCAAAAGGAACATTGCCATTTCTACGAATTCTGACAATTTCACAATCAATTCTTCAATTTGGAGGAATTTCAATATTCTTCCACCACTTGTGTAAGTTAGTATTTCAGATATCCTAAATGAGCCAATTTTCCATAGGTCTTTGCTAGTTCATTTGATACATAATAATATATAATGCCAACAATACCAGATACCAATTATACATAATTTATTTAATTTTAATTTTAATTTAATTTAATTTTAATTTAATTTAATTTAATTTAATTTTAATTTAAAATTTATCTTAACTCACAGTGTGAATTCAATACAAGTTACATTCTCTCTCATTTATCCATCTGAATATTGTGATGAAAAATAGCAGTCCATTTCATCATGCAATCCTTAACCTTTTTCAGTTTTTCAGTTTCAAATTTTAACAAAAAGCTATACATTTTTGCTCTTACATATTGATAATTTGTATATAATTCTGTTTCAAATTCTGTTTTGTTTTTCTATTCTAAAAAAAATTGGAAACTATATCCTATTCCTCCCCCCAAACTGAAGGTTCTCTCACGAGGCTAGTATTAATTTTTCTATTGAATTGAAGATCTCTATTTAATATAAATTCTTTCTCAAAGAACTGTGCTTTGGACAGTAGGCTTGGTGAATCCGGAGTCAGTAAACAGTCTTCATCTGAGTTTTGGAGCTGGCTGATCTCTAAAGTTGTCAGCACTCTAAAGAGAAGCTGACATGATTCCAATGCATCCCTCAAGGAACAGCCTTTTGGAGCATAGATGGGCCATCTCCAAAGCTTTCTCCTTGCCCGGAGAAGTGCCTTTGGCTTCAGCATAAGACTACCTTTCTCCTCTGCATTGTTTCCCAGGCTGACTACCAATTTTGCAAAAATCAAGATGTGTTTTATCAATAGAATTCCCATAATCTATTAAGAAAATGATCTAATTAAAAAATTGAAAGATTAACCTCATGAACTTTGACCTCTCAAATTCTTAGTTTTTAGCAATTACTTCACTGTCTTCATTTTTAAAAGTGATTTGTTTAAGATCTGCTCTAGAATTTTCACATAAATTGATATTGGATTGAGAATTTGCAGATGATACTAAGCTGGCAGGAATAGCTAACACCCAAGAAGATAGGCTCAAGATGCAGATGGATCTTGACAGACTAGAACACTGGGCTATATCTAATAAAATGAAATTCAATATAGAGAAAAGTGAAGTCCTACACTTAGGCAAGAAAAACTAAAAGTATACATATAGACTGGGTGAAACCAGGCTCAATAGCAGTAACTGTGAGAGGGAACTTGGAGTCTTAGTGGACAACCAGCTAAATATGAGCCAGCAGTGTGCAGCAGCTGCCCAAAAAGCCAATGCAATTCGAAGTTGTATTTACAGAGGGATACAGTCAAGGTCAAGGGAAGTACTAATACTGCTCTATAAAGCCTTAGTAAGACCACACCTAGAGTACTGCATCCAGTTTTGGTCACCACATTAAAAAAAGATGTTGAGGCTCTAGAAGAAGTACAGAGAAGAGCAACCAGGATGATTAGGGGACTGGAGGCTAAAACACACAATGAATAGTTGCAGGAAATGGGCTTGGCTAGTCTAGTAAAGAGAAGGACCAGGGGACACATGATAGCAGTCTTCCAATATTTGAGGGGCTGCCACAGGGAGGAAGGGGTCAAGATATTTTCTAAAGCTCCTGTAGGCCAGACAAGGAATAATGGATGGAAACTGAATAAGGAGAGATTTAACCTGGAAACAAGGAGAAACTTTCTGACAGTGAGAGCAATCAACCAATGGAACAGGTTGCCCTCAGAAGTTGTGGGAGCGCCATCACTTGAGACTTTCAAGAAGAGATTGGACTGCCATTTGTCAGAAATGGTGTAGGGTCTCCCGCTTGGGTGGGGAGGTTGGACTAGATGACCTACAAGGTCCCTTCCAACTCTGATTATCTGTATCTGAGAAGTCTGTGATTTTCTAAATCTGTTGTTGCTTTTGAAGATAGGACAATAGTTTCTCATTTAAGAATATTTGCAACTTAGACAACAGTGGAAAATTTAAATATCTAAAGACCAAGTGGGATTAGAAAACTAGTTTTTCTTTTTCTTTTTTTGGAATTACTGGATTTTTCCATTCTAGTTGCATCATTTCTTGGACAAGAATGTGTTTTACAATATTTCCCGGGAAAAACTTTATCTGGACCCAAATGGAGATCTAGCAGCTGACCTGGATGTCATAAGTTTGGTGATTATCCCAGATGACCCCTTCATCGAAGAGCAACTGGGGACTTTTGAAAGGCAGAAACTTACTATCAACCCAAATATTCTATCACAGCTGAAGTTACTCGGGAAGGTTTGGAAACTACTATCTTCTTTTCTCTGTTTACAGTTTTAAGACCAGACCCATTTCAAGTACACTGAGCCTAATCACCAATGTGGATGATCTACATTCAGAACTGAATATGGGGAAGAAAGCTACATTCACACCAGTTTGAATAGCAATAGGCCTTCTGTTCCTAGGAAGGAGGTCCAAGGGTTTCAGTTCACATGAAATAATTATAGTTAAACATCATGATTTGACTTGAAAAAGAACCCTCACTCAGAAAATTGAAGACTTGAAACATAACTTTGACCCAAAGGAAATAATGTTAGACAGTTTGAAGGAAAATGCTAGTTTGATTTGGCCTTTGGCTTGTAAGAGGAATTACAATTGAAGCCCCCTTGAATGAAAGTGTCCCTCTAAAGCAGGGGTGGGTTTCTACCAGTTCTGTCCACCTCTGAAAAACTGATAGCTCTGAAGAGCAGTAGACATAGAACCGGTTCTATGTCTGCTGATGTTTTTGCCCACCCTCCCACCTGGGCTCTTACCTGACCATTATTTCCAGATTTGTTCATTTCAGCTGCCGTGTGAGGCACAGCTGCAGTTTAAAAAGCAGGAAAAAAGGGCTTTTTGAAAAGCTGCTTCTCTGCACGCAGCATGCTGATGATGATTTACAGGCGCACAGTTCACAGTGTGCAGGAAAGCTCGTAAATCCCAAACCAATAGTTAACCCTGTCGTATCCCACCCCTGCTCTAAAGAACTCCATTGGCCTCCTTTGATTAGATTTGTATTGATTTTATCTATACTATTATCTACCTTAAGTCACTTCTAGGCAAAAGAAAGCTCTAAATTCAACTAGCTATAAATATAGGACAATCAGTATAAATATATACTGATTGGTGTCGCCTAACTAGTTCTTGATCTGAAAGGACTTTGAGCTATCAAGCAGTGCCTTTGAAATAGATCTTTCCAAAGCAAGGCTCCTTCTTGTGTCCCAATTCCTGCAGCACAAAGGAATGCAGTCAGCTTTAGTCTTCATTACTTTACCAAGGTAACAGCCATAAAAATTGAAAGAATAGAATAGAATAAAATCTTATCTAAGACTGATCACGCTAACTTATAAGGACTTTTTCTTTTTCATCTTAACTAGAGTACCTCATGGGAGAAGGATTGTGTTGTATGACTTCAAAAGAGGAAGTCATTGCAATGTTTTATGTAATCTGCAAGGTATATATGAAGATACTCTCCTTATAGAATAGAATTCTTTATTGGCCAAGAGTGATTGGACCCACAAGGAATTTGTCCTTGATGCAAATGCTCTCAGTGTACGTAAAAAGAAAAGATACATTCATCAAGAATCATAAGGTAGAATAGAATAGAACAGAACAGTACAGAACAGAACAGAACAAAATAGAATAGAATAGAATAGAATAGAATACTTTATTGGCCAAGTGTGATTGGACACACAAGGAATTTGTCTTTGGTGCATAGGCTCTCAATGTACATAAAAGAAAAGATACATTCGTCAAGAGTCAAGAATCATAAGGTACAACACTTAATAGTCATAGGGTACAGTAAGCAATCAAATCATACTAGGAAACAGTCAACATAAATCATAAGGATACAAGCAAAGTTACAGTCATAAGTAGGAAGAGATAGGTAATAGTAAAGAATAATAGAAATGCTTAAATCTTTTTCATTTTGTCCCTGAAAACTTTACAAAGCACAACAATATGTCATTGCCATGAGAAATATGAGAAATATGCAGAGGATACACACATAACTGTTTGAAGCTCTTGGATACTTTTAGCTGAGGTTAGAAATATTCACCTCAGTGAGTCCTAAGATATTAACTTTGGCTTCTTTCTATTTCTGCTTAGTCTCTGCCTCAGTCCAAATGTGTGGAAAATTGCCGTCCTGGATTTGTCAAGCAGAAGCGAGAAGGAGAGCCAGTTTGCTGCTATGGTTGTCCAGAAGATACCATCTCCACTCAGGAAGGTGAGTAACACCAGAGAAAAGGTGGGTCTTGTTGAAATGGATTTATCCAGAGCATTTGGATTAAAAGTCACATTGAAGCTCAATTGTTTTCTTGTTTATTTTCAAACTGCATAATTTCCTATCTAAAGGGAAGAATGCAAAACTTGAAGAAAGATCTGGGAAGAAATAGATGTGGCAGATTGGGCGGCTTTACAACTGCCTGAGAAAAATATCTCTTCCACCAATTTGTTTGGCTGTTTCTTTCCATGTTTACCTTTTAGGAACTTCTCGGTTCTTTGAAACTTGAGGAATTGTCTTAGATTCATTGTGTTTCATCACTTGAACTAGACATAGGTAAAAGTAAAGGTTTCCCATGTCCAGTCATGTCCAACTCTAGTGGATGTTGTTCATCTCAATTTCTTGGCCAAGGGAGCCAATGTTGTCTGAATATAGTTTCATTGTTATATAACTTTTTTTTGATATCAAAATGCTAAGATTTACATCTTGGGAAATGTTCAAGGTATCAGCTGTTGTCCCAAGGAGCTACAATTTGATTGATTAATTGATTAAGAAATTTATTTCTCACCCATCTAGTATTCAGTGACTCTTGAACTTTGAAAGAAGAAATTATTTTTTTAAAAAAAAATCCTTTTTGTTTTCTCAGATACAGAAAAATGCACCAAGTGCCCAGATGATCAATACTCAAATAAGAAGAGAGTCCAATGTATTCCAAAAGTTATAACCTTTCTGACTTATGAAGAATATCTGGGCATCATTCTGGCTTCTTTTGCTCTACTATTATTCCTAATCACGGGATTTATTTCAATCATATTCATTAAATACCGAGAAACTCCCATTGTCAAAGCCAACAACCGGGATCTCTCTTATATCCTGCTTGTCTCCCTCCTGCTTTGCTTCTTGTCTTCTTTCCTCTTCATTGGTCAACCAGGAAAAGTCACCTGCCTTCTCCGACAAACAGTATTCAGCATTGTCTTCTCAGTAGCCGTATCTTCTGTGTTGGCGAAAACTATCACGGTGGTACTGGCTTTCCTGGCCACAAAACCAGGAAACCGAATGAAGAGGTGGTTAGGGAAAAGTTTGGCCAATTCCATCATCTTTTTTTGTTCTGTTGTCCAAGTTATCATTTGCTCCATCTGGCTGGGAATTTCTCCCCCATTCCCTGACTCCGACTTCCACTCCAAGCCTGGAGAGATCATCTTGCAATGCAATGAAGGGTCTGTTGCCATGTTCTACATCACCCTCAGCTACATGAGCTTCCTGGCTGTCATCTGCTTCACAGTGGCTTTCCTGGCCAGGAACCTGCCTGGGGCCTTCAATGAAGCCAAGCTGATCAACTTCAGCATGCTGGTCTTCTGTAGTGTCTGGGTGACTTTTGTCCCCACCTATCTGAGCACCAAGGGGAAATATATGGTGGCTGTTCAGGTCTTCTCCATCTTGACCTCCAGTGCTGGTCTTCTTGGTTGTATCTTTATCCCCAAGTGCTACATTATCCTTCTCAGGCTAGACCTGAACACAAAGAAACAACTTACTGGCAGAATAAATGTAGAAATATGAACCATAAACCATTATAATATTGGAAGAACTGGAAAGTTATTTAGGTGAAGATATTTATTATGTCTATTATGTACACAGGAATCAAAGATAATACATTAGGCACAAGCAATTCATGAACCACTCATGAACAGGATCAAATAGAAGTGCTATTGTTAGTTCCCCATGTTACAAGAATCTCTCCAGACTTACTGTATTCCCTTAGGAATGATCGGATAAATGGTCAAGGACACTGAGGGAGGTCAGTCCTGTGCCATTTTCTGCAGTGCAAGGGCTCCAAATTTCATCAATTATTCCCATTTACAATTACTGTCTATGTATGTATGTGTTAGGAATAACAAGGTTACCTAACGTAGTTTGGGTAAAATAATATATATAAACTATGATAGTAAGTTTAAGTGTGTGTCACTTTAAACTGCAAAGCATGTAATTTTGGGTGCGGTTGTAAAACTGCCATAAGAGGGAGCAAGAGAACCTGCTGGATTGCTGACGATTGATGGTTTGATGGATTGATGGTTTGCTAACTGCGTGTTCCCTACTGCTGAGTTGCTGAACGTCGAAGGAAAAAAGGAGGTTTGACTTCTTCATATCTCTACTGCGAGGAGATATATTACTGGACTGATATTTGTAAGTTTACTGACCTCTTTTTCAACACTGGACTTTGCAATGGAATAATTCCTGGACGGACTGAATCAGTGAATGATATATGGACTGTTTTTGACTATGCTAAAACTCTTACTGGAATAAGCTATTTTAACTAGCACAGTGTATCTGTCTTACTGAGTGTAAGCTACAAACAACGTTTATCTCACATATTTTGCCTGCCTGACTGCTGTGCACATTCTGCTAGGGTGTATCCCTTCTGCAGTGCAAGGGCTCCAAATTTCATCAATTATTCCCATTTACAATGACTGTCTATGTATGTATGCATGTATGCATATATTGTAAGGGGAAAATAATGGGGACCCCCTTCCAGCACAGTAAAGTTCAGGGGGCCTGAGATGGGTTTGATATTAATATTAATTGCCTGGTGCAAGTTTAAAGGAAATTTTGTAATCCGCATGTGCATCTGATGAAATAGTAGCTAACATGAAGACTGTTGTTCCCTATAGGCTGAAATGATTGGGGCTGAGGCTGTTGGAAAAGAGGAAGTGTATGCTTAAAGCACATGTAGAGATAATCATGTTGTAACATTGAGGTTAAAGGAATGGAAAAGTGCCCCTGTTGCTAGGACAGTGTGGACAGATCTGGAAAGTCACATGATGTTGTTTTAAGGTAAAAAAGGACAAAGGTGAGTAATAGGAAGTTGCAAATCAGCCTCAAGCTGTCCCATTTAACTGCTTGTCTGATTGGCCCTCATTGCAATGTGATTAATGTAAGTGAATTTATGTTTGTTGTGCTTTAAATTCTAATAAACCTCTGAATCCTAAAAGTGAGACTTTTTTAGGTGTGCTGTTTTTTCAATTGTTGTTAAGTGCAGCTATACTCATAATCCAATTATTCCCCCGACAATATGTATGTATGTATGTATGTATGTATGTACCCAGTGGTGGGATCCAGATTTCTTAATAACCAGTTCTGTGGGCATGGCCTAATTTATGGGTGTGGCTTGGTGGTCACATGACTGGCTGGGCATGGCCAGGTGGCCATATGACTGGCAAATCAAATACAAGTGGTCCTCACTTAATAGAGGGTTGCTGACCTCCCGAGAGCTACTTGACCTGTTTTTAAGAGTTTTGACAGCCATTCACACACACACACACACACACACACACACACACACACACACACACACACTCTCCCTTCTAACCCTGCTATTCTATGATTCTGTAATGATCTCCTGCTGGAGGGGGGGTTGGACTAGATAGAAGATGACCTCCGAGATCCCTTCTAGCCCTAGATTGCCATGCTATTTCAGAGACTTCTGAAGCCAGGGTTTGTGTTCTTCCTTCCTCTCCTTTTTTTCTTCCTCCCTCCCTCCATCCATGTATCTATCCATACATACATACATACATTTCATTCACTATCTCCTCCCTCCATCCCTCTCTTTCTTTCTTTTTCTTTCTTTGTCCCTCCCTTCCGTCTCTCCCTTTCTTTATCTATCCCTTTTCTTCCTTTCACTTCCTTTCTCTTTTTCTTCTTTCTCTATTCTCTTTCTTTCCTTTCTTGACTCATTCTCTTTCTCTTTCCCTCTCTCATTCCCTCTTCTCTCACTTTCCCTCTCTTTTTCTTTCTCTTTCCCTCTCCCCCTCTCTCTCTGTGCCTCTCTATGGCTCTCCCCCCTCTGTATCTCTTTCTGTGTCTCTCTCTCTCTCTGCCTCTGTGTCTCTCTCTCTCTCTCTCAAAGCCAGCTGAGCCAAGCCAGCAAACTCTCCTTGGCACTCTTTGCTACTTCTTTCATTTCTTCTTTTTGGAATCCAGATTGGCTGAACAACAATCATCAACCATGGTGGAAGTTTCCCTTTGGGTGACCCTTCTCCTCCTCCTCCTCTTGCAACTGGCAGCTGTGGTGGGGCCAGGAGAATACACACACACGGGGAGACCCTCCTCAAGTGATCAGCCACCTGCCCCATGCCTGGTTTTGCTGTGCTTTGGCACTTGCTTGAGGAGCATCTCCCTGCAGGTGTGACCTTCCCAGCTCCACTACAGCTGCTGGTCAAAAAAGGAGAAGGAGGCGGAGGAGGCAGAGGAGGCGGCGGAGGAGGCGGAGGAGGAGGAAAAGGGTCACCCAAAGGGATGCTTCCACTGCAGCTGGCAATCGTTGTTCAGCCAGTCTGGATTCCAAAAAGAAGAAATGAAAGAAGTAGTGAAGAGTGCCAAGGAGAGCTTGCTGGCTTGGCCCAGCCATGGCTTTGAGAGAAAGACAGAGAGAAAGAGACACAGAGAGACAGAGAGACAGAAACAGAGATGGGGAGAGAGGGGGGAAGATAGGGACTCAGCTGCTTTGCTATTCCCTGCTGTTGCCCTTACCTTCTCAGGCTAGGTGAGGGCGGGGAGGGTGAGGGGCAAGGCCAGCTGCTTTAGGCAAGGTGAAGAGGTGGCGATCAAGCATGGGCTAGTAGAAGCCTGGGGATGGCAGCTCCCAATTCAGCCAGCCTGACAGGCTTTGAGGTCGGAGGACCTGCAGCAGCCAAGATCTGAGTGAGCATGGCACCATGGCATCCGCCCACGGGTTCTCCTGGACACCCACTTCTTTGGTGTTGGCTTTACAGAGCTATGGAATGAAGCCTGGGCTGATGTGCAGCACCTTTAGCTGTGCTCACTTGTAAATGTCCAAATAATCTGGAGAAGACACCAGAACAGTTGATCAGGTAGTTCTCCCCCCTCCACAGTGCTCCTCCTGCAGAAAATGGTTGTTCCCTGAGCTAAGAAGGCAAGGAGCTGCGGCTTGGCTCACCTAATTCCAAGGGCTATCCTGAATGGTCCCAATTCAGCACTGAGAGGGCGGATCCCCCTGGCAATCCCCATTGCTTCTTGTCTTGCCTTCTGTTTCATGGGAAAATAAGTTGACCCCCTTTTCTTTGTGGCAGCCCCTCAAATATTGGAATACTGCTATCACGTCACCTTTAATCCTTCTTTTCACTAGAAAATATTAGACCAATTTGTTCTGACCCAAACCTGGTTCCATAAGAGTAAAGACAAAACAAAGGTACCAGCACAACCTTTTACTTGTTCATGAATCCTGTTTCTTCACAGATAAAAAGCTGCTTCCAACTAATTAGTTCAGATAAGAAAGAGCCTTGCCAAGTTTTTGCAAGTCTGCCAAGAACAACAGATAAAGTTCCTAAACAATAAATCAAAGAGTCCCTGAACACCAACTCAGATATTCTAATGTCCACCAGGCTCAAGTATCAAACTTCTTTGCCTTCTGCAAAGAACTGCAATTTCTCAGCTGGCTTTTATCTTCTCAGGGAAGGGCCCTTACCTTCCAGCCTTACTCCTGAGTCGCCCATGCTGCTGCAGCTGCTCTTTCCTTCAAGCAGCCCTGTGTTCATGTGTGTTGGGCACAAGCTTCTCGAGGGCCTCTTCCTCACTGCTGCCAGCCTCCACAATCTCCGAAGGCAACATTTCACTCCCTGATGGTCCTGGCCTCATCCCTGCATCACACACAGACCCTTCATCTGAGTCCTCACTCTCCAAGACCTCAGCCATCCATACCTGCTGCCAGAGAACCACAACACAATTCCTGAAGTCCTGGTGGCACAGTGGTTAGAATGCAGGTAACTCTGGACTTCAGAAATTGATCTAATCTATTGTAGTGAGAAAAAGGAGTCCTTCCTCCTTCCTAAGGAGTTTGATCATGACTGCCCCAAGATTGACTCAGCTTCCCATCATTCTGAGGGAGTAAAATGAGGGGCCAGACTGCTTGAGGCAATCTACCCTGATCCCCACCCCCAAATATGACTATGTCACAAAGGTGTCAGTGGTTGTATCTCTTACAATCATTTGCAAATAGTTAAAGATTTCATATTTTTCAAAGGTAATGTGCTAGTCATTTATTGCTCGAGGTGCTCATCTCTGTTTCAAAGCTGAAGAGCCAGCACTGTCCAAAGCCATCTTCATGGTCATATGGCTTGCATGAGTAAATGCCGAAGGTGCACAGAACACTGTTACCTTCCCACCAAAATCGTCCCTATTTTTCTACTTGCATTTTTACATGCTTTCAAACTGCTAGGTTGGCAGAAGCTGGAACAAGTAACTTTATCAAAGATTAGCTGGCAAATGTTCATGTCAAATTCCAGCCATTAACATACTTTTGGGGAAAATTCTTTCTTTTTCTGCTTAGTCTCTACCTCAGTCAAAATGTGCACTTCTGCATTTCTTCTAGATGTAAAATGCTCCTTTATATTGAGGTCTGGCCTCAGGATGATAATGTAGCACTTGGGGATGAAGATGCAGAACAGCAGACCAGCATTTGATGACAATATAGAGAAGACCTGAACAGCCACCATGTATTTTCCTTTGATGCTCAAGTAGGCAGGCACAAAACTTGCCCAGACACTACAGAAGACAAGCATGCTGAAGGTGATCAACTTGGCTTCATTGAAGGCCCCAGGGAGATTCCTGGCTAGGAAAGCTAATGTGAAGCAGATAGCAGCCAAGATGCCCAGGTAGCTGAGGGTGAGGTAGAACATGACAACAGAGCCTTCATTGCATTGCAGGATGATCTCTCCAGGCTGGGAGTGGAGGTCAGAGTCAGGGAATGGGGGAGAAACTCCCATCCAGATGGAGCAAATGATAACTTGGACAGCAGAACAAGAAAGGATGATGGAGTTGGCCAAGCTCTTCCCCAACCATCTCTTCATTCGGTTTCCTGGTTTTGTGGCCAGGAAAGCCAGCACCACCGTGATTGTCTTAGCCAAGAGAGAAGAAATGGCAACTGAGAAGATGATGCCAAACACCATTTGTTGGAGAAGACAGGTGGCATTTCTTGGTTGACCAATGAAGAGAAGAGGAGACAAGAAGCAGAGCAGGAGGGAGACAAGGAGGATGTAAGAGAGGTCCCGGTTGTTGGCTTTGACAATGGGAGTTTGTAGGTATTTAATGAATATGGTCAACACAAAGACTGTAATTAGGAAGAAGAGTAGGACAAAAGAAACCAGGATGATGCCGAGATGGTCTTCATAAGACAGGAACGTTATGATTTTGGGAATACAATGAACTTGGTCTTCATTTGGGTATTTATCATCTGGACATTTGGTGCATTTTTCTGTATCTGAGAAAGTCAAAAAGCAATATTTCTTGTAGGTTCTATCCTTTTACATTTTAAGTTTTACAGGACAAGAATTCATACCAGGAGCATTTTCCAAGGTGCATTTCTTTACATCTCCACAAAAGAAAAGTAAGAATTATAACATTTCTATAAAAAATATATGGCAAACATCTATGAAATAAGGGAAAGTTCTAGGATTTGAATGATTTCCTGTGAAATGTGCAGAAACTACATAGAAGCCTATGTTATTATAGGCAAATAATGAATCAGTTAATCTTCCTATGCAAATCTTGTAGTTTCCGCAAGATGACATTTCTTAATATAATGGATTCATAGTATGCCTATCTTGTGAAATCTAATTAGCTGACAGAGGAAACGAGACCTGCAAATAATCTGGAATGGCAATTGGGAGAAGAGCTAATACAGTTATATTGAGGTCCACCCATAAGTGTCCACACGACCTCATTGTGGATCAGTGGTACCTTCTCAGTGATCCTCAAGGGAAGATCCATATAGAGTATGTTGCAATAATCCTTCCAGGAAGTGGACCTAAGACAATTCCTTAAGTTTCAGATAACTCAGATATTGCTAGAAAAATAAATATGGAAGGATAGAGCCAAAATAAAAAGCAGAAGAGATATTTTCTCTGGCAGTGGTAAAGTTTGCACAATTGTTCACAACACTTCCCCAGCCCCTCCTTCAAGGTCTTTAAGCTATTCATTCTTTTAAATAAGAAATTGTGAATTTTGAAAATAAGTAAGAAAACAGATGACGTTCAGTCTGTCTTTTAACCTGCACTTTCATGAAAATGCTGTACATGAAACCACTTCCACAGGGCCTGTCTCTTTTTCTTTTGGTGGCACTCACCTTCCTGAGTAGAGATGGTCCCTTTTGGACAAGGAATGCAGTTGTAGCAGCAAACTGGCTCCCCTTCCCGAGCTCTCTTGGCAAAACCAGGACGACAATTTTCTACACATTTGGATTGAGGCAGAGACTAAGCAGAAAATTAAAAAGTGCCAAAAATATATTAGGACTCACCATGCATGGAAAATGGATATAAACATTAGCCAAGTAGTCTCTGGGCTCCACTTAGGTAAATAGGAAAACTATTTCTAAACTGTTGAAATACAAATATTGACAAATTCCACTCCCCTTTGAAAGTAATCCAAAACCAACTCCCAGTTAAGACACAAACAAAACATTACTTACAAATTAGGACTGTCCATTTTAAAGGAGCTCTTTGTTTTTTGTATAATTTATTGGTTAAATTTTAAATGTTTGTCATGCACTTGATTTAAAAATTTCTACTCAGTTTTAGAATTACGTTAGATGAGATGGAAGTGAGATCATGAGAGCCTGTCCCGCCAAAAGTCAGGCATCTTTTTCTGTAGCACATGGGAAAATGAATATGAGCGCTGATTCAGAAAGAGATATTTCTAAGGCCCAGCCAATTGTCCAAGAAAAGGTCTTTTCTGTTGAAGAACTACAATCAACTGTCACCAACTGGTGTGGAAAGAAAGACCTACGGTTATTCATAGGTAAATTTGGATCCTCCTTTTTTTCCAGGGACTTGAGACAGCTAACAATCAAGATAACCAATTGCATTCTAGGGGTTTTCTTATGAAATATCCTGTTACAAGCCAAAGGTCAAACCTAAATGGCATTTCCTTTCAAACTGTATCTCATTACTTCAGGTATTAGGAAGGGCTTTTCTTTGAACCAATGTCATGCTTCAGTTCTTCAGTTATTTCACGTGAGACCCAGTGATGGGATTCAAAAGTTTTTACTACTGGTTCTGTGGTCATGGCTTGGTGGGCGTGGTAGGGGAAGGATACTGTAAAATCTCCAGCCAGAGGTGGTTCTCCAAACTACTCAGAATTTCCACTCCTGATTCTCCAGAACTGGTCGGAACCTGCTGAATACCACCTCTGGTGAGACCAATCATTACGATTCCTCATAAACTGAAAACCTGGACCCAGGACTGAGATCCTCCTGGTCTAACATCCAGTTCGTTAATTGCATGCTATCACAATTACTTACCTTCAATGTTCCTTCAGGGAAATAACACAGCTGAGGTGCGATAATCTGCTCTGCTGTGTTAATCACCTGAGCAGATATAGGTGAGTACATTGCAGGGGTGGGCAGGCAGGCCCTTTGATCATCGGATCAAACCAGTTTGGAGCCAGCTGATCATTGCAGCTAAGGGGTCACCCGAATTGGTACCAATTGGGAAAATCCCACCCCTGCCTGGATCTCCTTCTTAGAAGCACAAGACCTATTGTACTATCCCAGTGGGCTGAAAGATTGGAATGAATAACTCTAGCCAATTCTGGGTTGCTTAAAAACATCTTAATGTGCCCTTTCATGTAACACTGACCTGATAGAAAAAAAAACTATCCTGCAATCTGCAACACTTATACTGCAAAAACATATAGACTACATAACTCGATCAGGGCAAAGCAATAGACACAATCTACATAGACTTCTGTAAAGGCTTTGATTCAGGGGTACATGACAAACTACTCCTAAAACTAAAATCTTACGGTATCTCTGGACACCTGAATAACTGGATAGAAGCATTCCTGTCAAACAGACAACAAATGATCAAAATTGGGAGTGTCCTATCAAATTTTGTACCTGTCAACAGTGGTGTCCCCCAAGGCAGTGTTCTAGGACTAACTCTCTTCATACTCTACATCAATGACCTCTGTGATCATATTAAGAGCAACTGTGTTCTCTTCACTGATGATGTAAAGCTATTCAACACCATAGACAATACTGCTACCCTTCAAAAAGACCTCAACTATGTATCAAAATGGCCAAACAAATGGCAACTTCAAATCTCAACAAATAAATGTTCTGTCTTACAAATTGGCAAAAAAAAAATCAGAAAATAAAATACAGGCTGAATAGTCAAGACCTTGTTGATGATCCAAACTCTGTCAAGGATTTTGGAGTACTTATCTCTAATGATCTAAGTGTTAGAGCCCACTGTAACTACATAGCCAAAAAGGCATTAAGAGTTGTTAACCTAATCTTACATAGCTTTTTCTCTGGTAATATTACACTACTAATTAGAGCATGCAAACTATTTGCTAGACCAATAGTTGAATACAGCTCATCAGTCTGGAACCCACATTATGTATCTGATATTAACACAATCCAGAAATATTTCACAAGAAGAGTTCTACACTCCTGTACTTGTTGCAGAATACCTTATGCCACCAGACTTGAAATTCTAGACCTAGAAAAGCTAGAACTATGCCGTCTTCGGTCCAATCTTAGTATAGTGTATAAAATCATATATTGCAATGTCCTGCCTGTCAATGAATACTTCAGCTTCAACCATAACAGTACAAGAGCAAACAATAGATACAAACTCAAGGTTAATTGCACCAAACTTGATTGCAGGAAATATGACTTTAGCAACAGAGTGGTCAATGTCTGGAATACTCTACCTGACTCTGTGGGTTCTTCCCCAAACCCCAAAAACTTTAAGCTTAGACTTTCTACTATTGACCTCACCCATTTCCTAAGAGGTCTGTAGGGGGCGTGCATAAGCACACCAACATGCCTACAATCCTTGTCCTATTGTTTCTTTTATTTTTCTTATATGAATCCATGTATTCATAACTATGTCTTTACTTATACCCATTATCTTGTAAGCAATTGACAAACCAAATTAAAAAAAAAAAAAAAACTGGGACAAGTTAAATCCTGATTTTAAATCCTATTTCCCACTGTGACCAAAAGGACTTCAGTAAGAGGGCTGTGAAAGTATTTACAGACCCTTCACATCCTGGACATTGTTTCAACTCCTACCCTCAAAATGATGCTATAGAGCACTGCACACCAGAACACCATCACTCTGCTAAACAAATAATTCCCTCAACACTGTCAGACTATGTACAAAGTTTGCATTATTATCACTATTAATCTTCTCATCACACCTTATCACCCACCCCCTCCCATTTGTAACTGAATGTTTGTAACTTTGTTGCTTGTATCCTAACGATTTATATTGACTGTTTCCTAGTATGATTTGATTGCTTATTGTACCCTATGACTATATTAAGTGTTGTACCTGATGATTCTTGATTCTTGATGAATGTATCTTTTCTTTTATGTATACTGAGAGTATTTGCACCAAGACAAATTCCTTGTGTGTCCAATCACACTTGTCTAGTAAAAGAATTTTATTCTATTCATTGGTTTCAGTCCAAATCTGAGCTTTGACATGGGTCAACAAAATTGCCTTTTTCTTTGCTCTTTGAGAACAAGGAACAAATGAACCTGAGGCTATCAGCACCACAATCCCTATCACTTACTTTTTTCATGTGGCTTTTACATTCCAATCCTAAGCCCTGGTGCAATGTTTTATCACAGTTGAAATGAGTCATAGGTCTTTGTCAAATAGAGAAAAGAGAATAGAAAATAGAGAAAAGAAAATATTTCTCCCACCTTGTTGAGGAACTTTAGCCGAGACAGAGTATCAGGGTTGATGATAACTCTTTTTCTCTCATAACTCCCCAGTTGCTCTGGCATTAGTTCCTTATTGGGGAAAACCATTGAACTAATGATGACCAGATCAGCTTCTAAATCTCCATTTTTGTCAAAGTACAGTTTCATCCTGGAAATATTCCAAAATTCATTCTTCTCCAGAAAGGGATGGAACTTGAATGGAACATAGAGGAATTTATTAACTTGGTTTCTTATCCCATTTTGTCTAGTCAACCTTGAGCAGCAAAACGAAGGCAAATTCTGCAATGCTAATCACAAACTCATATACAGGAATTTATTTAAAAGTTCATATAACTTTTTTAAACAGGTGTTTTTACTAAACCTGTGATATTTTTCACACTTGTGAACATTATCTCATTAACATTATAGGATCCAAAAAGATCTTGACAGGCTTGAACAATGGGGCCTATCCAACAAAAAAAATGGGGCCTATTTCCTTAGGCAGGAAAAAACAAAAAAGATCTTGAGACTTTGGAAAAAGTCCAAAGAGCAGCAATTAAGATGATTAAGGCCTTGGAGACAAAAAAAAAACCATGAATAACGGTTGCAAGAATTGAGTATGACCACTCTAGAGAGAAGAAGTAGGGGTGACATGTTAGCAGTATTTCAGTATTTGAGGGGCTGCCACAAAGAAGAGTTCAACTTATTTTCCAAAGCACCAAAAGGCAAGACAAGAAACAAAAGATGTGAATAAAGAAGAGACGCAACCTGGAATTAAGGAGAAACTTCCTAACAGTGAGGATAATTAACCAGTGGAATAGTTTGCCATCAGAAATTGTGGGAGCTTCATCACTGGAGCTTTTTCAGAAAAGACTGGGCAACCACCTATATGAAATGGTATAGAGCAGCGGTTGTAACCAGTGGGCCACAGCTGAGAAAAAATTTGGTGGTCCACAGAGAAATGTCACCCTCAGAGCACCCCTCAAAGCAATTAATCCAAGCTACACGGGAACACAAAGCTGCGCCGCCTACATGGCCTTCGGGAACCCTCCCTGCCCATTTGCTCCTTACCTGGCAAACTTGCCAAGTTGCTATTTTTCCTTTCTTTTTTTTTTGACCATCAGCTGTTCTGCTGTGCCAGGAAATTTAGATTAGCTAGAAAGCAGGATATTGTTGGATTTGTTGCTTTCTAACTAGTTTTTAGATCTTTGGCTCTGCTTTTAAGCCTGCCTGCTTTGTCTGATTTTGGGTAAACGTTGCTCTTTTTTTATTAAAAAAAAACAATATTTACATAAATATTTATAATATTTGCATACAAGCCATGCCCAGCCAGTCACATGACCACCAAGCCACACCCACAAATTAGGCCATGCCCACAGAACAGGTTGTTAAGAAATTTGAATCTCACCCCTGCCTCTGTGTGTTGGGGGGGAGGGGGGAGAGAGAGAGGTTAGATCAGATGTCCCTCCCTCCCTCCCTCCCTCCCTCTCTCTCTCTCTCTGTCCCTCTCCCACCAACATCAGCAAGGCACCATCAATCAAAATTCAAAATTCATATAAGTGGTCCCCAAGATTTAAAATTATGAGTTTGGTGGTCCCTGAGGTTCAAAAGACTGGTGACCCCTGGTATAGGGTCTCCTGCAGGGGGTTGAATTAGAAGACCTCCAATGTCACTTCCATCTCTATTCTGATTGCTAGCCTGAGGGTTTAGATTTGCCAAACGTGTTACCCTCTCATAGTGCAAGTAGGTTGAGATGGTTCCCCTCCTTTTCTGTTGAAGTAAGATTGATGGATCTTTGTAGGACTCTCTACCTGCCATGGTTGTAGCCTTGGAGCCCAAAGTATCTTGTTGCCCTCTGTCCTTCTCCTCCTGGATCTGCAGGAATATGTAGCATTCAGAGCACGGGCCAGAGTCTTAATGACACTGTAAAAGTAGTGGATATTTTGGACTTTGATCTTGCTTCTTTTTTCTTGGGTCTCAAGTGGTGCTTTCTCAGTACATCTTCTTCTGCCCTTGGCAGAAAATACATTCTTTGAAAAAGAACAGTGAAATGTTTGATCTTCAAATGATGGTTCCACAAAGAAACTGGGTTCAAATGCATCCTTTACTTGCCATTCTTTTCCCTTAAAATAAAAAGTCCAGATACTATGCACATATTTGAGAAGCCTGTAATTTTTAATTGGACTTATTAGGACATAGGTCGTGATCCAAACTTTCCCTTCAATTGATCCTGACAAGCCTTCAAGTGTTAAATGGAAAGGAAGGATTCTGTCTGTAAGGGGAACATATTCTATGAAGTGAACAAAAACATTAACTTGCCTCCACTTAGAGAGGGCAGCCCTGAGGGGAGCTATATGTCCAGTTGTTGAGAATTGTTGTGATATAACAACACAAATTCCATTCCTCACAAGCAGAGGAGTGAAAGTCCTCATAAAATTATCTCCATTTTCAGTGTCTGAAGCAAAGAGACCAACCAAGGTCCATCTGAAATGCAGAAGCAATTGGACAAAGGCTGGATAGAGGAATTCTTTTTTGGGGAAAAGCCGATGGTAAAAAGGCAATTGACTTTTATCATTCAGTGACTCTGAAAATAATTGAAAACTGATCTGAGAAAGCAATGAAGAATGCTGTGTTATATTTGGATTCAGATTAGTTCAAAAATATTAGCTTTAAAGAGATCCAATTTGTTCTCATAAACATATTTAAATAGTTTACTGTTTGTTAGTCATTAAGTAAATCCAGATACAGAATAAAAATATGTAACATTATAAAACATTATACAACAATAGTATAAAATAAATTAATTTGAAAAGAAAAAGAATAAAGAATGCAAATCACATTTCTGTATCACACCTACTATTGACCACAATCAGACCTACACTTGCAAATCTCAATAAATGTTTGTTCAATCAAAGAGCTGTATTCAATTTCTTTTTTTTTAATTTGACCATACAGGAAATATGTCATTTTAACACAAGGATTCCAAAAGCTCATTCATCTAATATGTAGTTCAAGATACTGAACTCTCCTTGTCTTACACAATTGACATTAAAAAATAGATATGTTAACTCTTCTGTCTCTGGAGCTCTGCTAGTACAAGTCTTTTCATTATAAGGGTCTTCCATATTTAATTATCGGGTCCAAGTGCTGAAATCTTGCTTGAGTAAATAGTGTGCTCAGATGTTTTTTTTATTTCTTTGTTGGTATATCTGAAATTTTGAAAGTATGTTTGTAATGGCTAATACCTTTCAATGAACCAATATTACTGAGGATGGCTACATCTTTCTCTGCTTGGATTCTTTGTGCAACAATCTTTTTAGTTTTTTCCCCAGTTGTACCAGAAACCACAGCTCCTAATATGATTTGTCAGTTGTAGAATCCAAGAGTCTTCACCTGATTTGTTTTTCTGTTCAAAAATCAGAAATTTGGATGTCTATCTGTTTCTATAGCTTTAAGGTTTCTGTCTTTATATTGGACATGAATACAATTGAGAGAGTCCAGAGATATTTCACAAGAGTCCTCCACTCTTCTGCTCACAACAGAATACCTTATACCAATCAGACTTGAAATTTTGGGATTAGACAACCTAGAACTATGCCACCTTCGGTCTGACCTAAGCGTAGTACATAAAATTATCTATTGCAATGTCCTACCCATAATGACTCCTTCAGCTTCAACCATAACAATACAGAAGCACACAATATATACAAACTCAAGATAAACCACTCCAAATTCGATTGCTTTAGTACTGCATTCTAACGACTGCACCCCCTATTATAGGGGTCTTCAAACTTGACAGGTTTAAGACTTGTGGACTTCATCTCCCAGAATTCTAGTCATGTTAGCTCAGGAATTCAGGGAGTTGAAGTCCAAAAGTCTTAAACTTGCCAAGTTTGAAGACCCTTGTCCTATTATATATTTATCTCCTTTTGCATTTGTATGTAAGGATCCTTGAACCAAAACTCCCTCTAAAACAAGCACAAGTAGAAGCTGTGTTTTTTATTATTATGGATTTCATCATGAAAATTGTAGGGTAAAAATAATTGACATATGGGCTCATGAGCTTCTTTTTTAAAAAAAAATGTTACTTAATGCAAGTGGTTTCTACAAGTTCATAATACATATGGTAAGATAGCTTCTTGTCATGAATTTGGGATTTGTTTACCATAGAAATAATCATTATTTTGATGAATATTAGTACAAAACATGAGTTTCCCATCACTGCTGCATCTTCCTTTTGTACAGAAGATTCTTTATTTGACACAGAGCCTCTCCTAATCTTCAGTTCTGTGCAGCAGGAACCTCCAAAGCAATGGGGATGGTGTCTTGAGATTATATAGCAATAGCAATAACATTTAGACTGGTTTTTTTAAGTGGTTTTACAGAGTCAGCCTATCGCCCCCAACAATCTGGGTCCTCATTTTACCCACCTTGGAAAGGATGGAAGGCTGAATCAACCTTGACTTTGGTGGGATTTGAACTGCCAAATTGCAGGCAGCAGAAGTGTCTGGGGTGACAGCACTCTAACCACTGTGCCACTGAGGCTCCTGCTATAACTACTTTGATAATTGTTTAATCCACAATTTGGATCAATCCCCAGCCATGAGACTTATAATGGCCATGGTGAAAAGCAGCTCTTCCATTCCCAAAAAGAAGATAAATTTGGATCTATCACTTGCCACCATGCCTCCACGCACTTTACCTATAGAAAAACACAGATACACACCTGTGGGATTTTGTAGATGCTTCCTAATGTTGACATTTGGATGGAGATGTCCTTTTTAGATCCATCAAGAAGAACTAAAAGGTTGTCTTTCCTTCCACAGCTGTAGTTAGGAACATTGGCTTCTCCAGTAGAAAGCATATCCAGCAAGGCATCTGATGTCCCAAGTGTGCTCACATAGTTGTCATGGATATTGTAGCCAAGAGTGAGATTTCTCAAGATCCAGGCATCCTTGTTGACCACTTGAATATTAAAAATGTAGCGTGGTATTCTTAGTGTATCATAAGGTATACTAATGTAAAAAATGTTCATGTTATCATTGTCATAATCAATAGTAATAGTAAAATATTTTTTCAATTTAATCCCCCTAAGAGCCGTGGTGGTGCAGTGGTTAGAATACAGTACTGCAGGCTACTTCTGCTGACTGCTGGCTGCCTGCAATTCAAATCAAACCAGGCTCAAGGTTGACCCAGCTTTCCATCCTTCTGAGATTGGTAAAATGAGGACTCAGATTGTTGGGGGCAATATTCTGAATCTATAAACTGCTTAGAGAGAACTGTAAAGCATGGTGAAGCTGTATATGTCTAAGTGCTATTGCTTTGTATCCATAAGTCTTCTGTTTCTTACGCCAATACTGATCTGTAGCTAAAGGTAAATGATAGTCCACTCATCACCATTTCATTTTTATGAATGTTGGGAAAATGAGATGGGGGTAAAAACCTCCTTCATGGATAATAATCAGAAATATACCATCATCCATCCATCCATCTATTCTTTCACTGAATTTCATTCAAGGACCCATCTCAGTCAATGACTCTGGGAAGCTTACAACTCAGGAAATATATTACAACTTTAAATTAAGGAAAACATGTTAAAATAATAAAAACAGTAAAACCAGTAAAAACATTACAAATATCTCAATTCAACATACACAAGAGCAGGATATTTGGATAGTTCGATAAAGCCAGGAACCCTTGACACATTCAACATCCCAGGTTTGTGAACAATACTAACTAGGACTCAAAATCATTCAATCGTTAAAGTAGAGCCATCTTAATAGGAAGACACTGTTTCACCCAGAAAAGTATTTCTAATAGCAATTTATGATCCTTTCAATTGCTACTTTAAACTAAAGTCAGTATTCTGACTTTAATCCTCTCATCCTTCCTTTCACCCATCTCCTCCCACTTCTGACTGTATGGCTGTAATCTTGTTGCTTTTATCCTAATGATTTTTATTGACTGTTTCCTAGCATGATTTGATTGCTTATTGTACTCTTTGACTATCATTAGGTGTTGTACCTTATGATTCTTGACTCTTGATGAATGTATCTTTTCTTTTATGTACACTGAGAGTATTTGCACCAAGACAAATTCCTTGTATGTCCAATCACACTTGGCCAATAAAGAATTCTATTCTATTCTACCTTGATTCTTAATGAATGTATCTTTTCTTTTACGTACACTGAGAGCACTTGCTCCAAGACAAATTCCTTGTGTGTCCAATCACATTTGGCCAATATATAATTCTATCTGTCTGTCTGTCTGTCTATTCAAGTGATAACTCAGGATTGAATTGGGAGAGTATGTATTCTGCATTTCTTTCAAGTATTTTTCCTCTCATCTTTGTATTTCAGTCTCGTACAAAATAAATCAAAAGAGAGAAAGCAAGGATGTCCTCACAATTCAAGAAACTAGATATGCCCTGAAATGTAGGAATGAGTGAAATAAGAAGGAAAAAAAGGAGAGCGTTAGAACTGCAAATGGAAGGAATGCAACTCAATCACACTTCATGACTTACAAGTGAAACTGACTAGAAGGAGCCATGTTGAAAGGCAATGTGGTATGTGATATTGTTGTTGCAGTGACAACTATACTGATGAAATGGTCTCCTGGCTTGTAATAGCTCCATGGTCGTTTTCCATCCTGGTGTTCCAAACTCAGTGGGCACTTCATACCAAGCTTCCCAGAGACTGGCTGGCACAGCATCAGCACAAGAAGGAGAAGTAGGAAGCTCATAATTCATAGGGCTAAACTAACCTTCTTCCTATTTCTAAACAAGTATAACAAGTAGACTAAAAAGAATCGAAAGAATTCTCACAAGATGGACATGTCAGTGATCCTTCTGATTCAGAGAGAGATAAACAGAGCTTCCCATGGAAAGGAGAGACAGGCATATTCAAGAGCACAGACCCTGTCTGTCCCAAAACATGGCACAGGGAGCATGAGCAGAGGCTTTTATCCTTTTCTGATGCATCATCTCTTCCATGTTGGTTTTAACACCAAAGGCAGTCATTGGAGAAATAGCAAGAGATAGTCTCAAAGACCTGGATGGTCATAATTACAATTTATGAGTATGTTCTCTCTCTATCACAAACAATCTTTGAGTATCAAGAAGGGTAATTGGAGGAAAGCATGTTAGTGAAAAATCACAGAAATACCCCTGGGCGTGCTATTCTGTAGTGGTTGTGATTCGTCCTATCCAGACATGTCCAGAAAGTGATGTGAGAATTAGATAGTTCAACACCCAGTTCATTGACTCTCGATGTGATATCTTTTCTCCAGAGACCGCAGTGGAAAGTCACTCAAGAGCTATGGAGTTTGGTGTCACTCTGGGTTGATGATTTGTTAACTCTAGTGCTTCCTGTCTTTTAATGACAAGAAAGCAATCAGTAACCTTAAATCCTCCTAATCTGAAGTGTTGAACCTGTTTGTGATTTTCATTTCTATTAGATCTCCAAATGTAAATGTAACAGTCTTTGTAAATAGCAATGGCTAATGCCCAATATTTCCTACTTGTACTACAAATAATTACAACGATCTAATGAACATTGATTTCACAGAAGATGTTGAAAAGGCACTACACAATCTAAAACCATCTGTATCCATTGGACCTGATAGACTATGTGCCTACTTCTTAAATAAGCTTTCCACTGCTATAGCAGAACCTCTAAGCATAATTTTTGAAACATCACATTTGGCCAATAAAGAATTATATTGTATTGTATTGTATTGTATTGTATTGTATTGTATTGTATTGTA